ATGTAACTTCTTCCTATAATATCCTTACATTATCCAGCAAACAAGGAATGAGAATACTCCAATAACAAATGATTGCAACTAATTTACAAGAAAATTTGTAGCATCTAGAGGGGAGAAATAACTGTCAGATCTTGGTGGGGGGAAGGGTTTAAATTACAAAGTAATGCACAGATGTGAGTTGTTTTGAAGCTTGAGTTTCAATTTTTGGGAATCAAGCTTCAAAACACGGGGAGAATTTTTGTGGGAAACAACTTACCATCAGTAATTCTTAAAAGCAGATCAAAAGCAGATCAAAAGCAATGGACACAGCCCTTGATGTCTTAAGCTCTCCTTACTGTTGCAAGCTATGTTTTCATGGTTCTTAGCAGTTTAGTGCTAACTGTGTGTTTTGTTCTTCTTGCTTCTTTCAGGAACGACAGCTCCTTCAGCTATGTAATATTCTTTCTCATTTACTTTCTTCACATAGCTATTAATATATTTTACACCCTTGGTATTCCTGGTGGTGGAACCTGGTAAGTTTCTTTTTTGCATGGACTCTTGATACATTTTTATCATTACTGTAATTTGTAATGTTACACTTCAGATTGGGTTTGGTATAGTCAGTAAAAGGGGACACTTTCTGCAAACTCAGGGTCTGTGACCTTGATTTTGTAGAGTACGTGTATATTAGTCCTTGTAACCCATTTACTTTGTAGCAATTCAAAACTTTTTCTGTTTCAAGAAGACTCTATGCAGACTTTCAGTGATGTATCCCTAATCATGCTTGCAGAAAGGAAAAACAAAGAAAACCATGTCCAAGATTCCTAAATTTCTTTCAATTATTTTATTTCTGGAATGAACTCCTTTGTGGACAGGGCTGTTGATAAGTTTGAAAGTAGACTGCAAATTAGAAATAGTAGTCAGGCAAGTTAATGTGAAAGCCATGTTGTTTTGTTAGTTCCACTAGGGTCATAGGAACCAATTCACACATTTAAATCCTAACTGTTAAATTATCTGTGGATTCAGTTTGGAACAAAACTGGGAAATTGCTGCGGTGCATATGTCTCCCATTGTATTTCAATAATTGAACAATTTTTCATCAGCACTTTTGACTAAGGGAGGTAAAAGAAACTGGCCAAAGATGGTAGACAAGCCAGCAGAATTGGCCAGCTACCACCTCATTGAAAGCTCTAAATGACTGAGCATATTCAGTCAAGTTGGCTGGATGCATCTGTGATTTTAACTCAGGAGTATAATAATACAGGCTGTAGGTGACTCCAATTTTTCCTGTTTTAGTGGTTTTATCAACGCAACTCAAGTAGTTCACCACAGTGTACCTGTAGGAGCCATGATGTTCACAACAGGAGTATTGTTGTTAGTTGGTGTTATTGTAGATATTTTCCTCCTTATGAAGGTACAGTTTTGACAGATCTTATTGAATTTTTACTTTCTCTCAAGCAACCCAGTGTCACACAGGGTTCTTGCCAAGTGTTTTTTGCTGCAGGTAAAAACAGTAAGCACATTTCAACATACATGTATGAGGTATTTTCAAAGCTGTAACCACCAGCATTAGAAAAGTAAGATTTTCAATTGAGTGCTATATCAGTATTCTCCTTTTTGCAAGTCCTAGGATCTCAAATCCCACGGCAAACTATTATTTTTGCTTCAGTGCCAGAGACCATGGAAACCCATCTGTAACTATTTTTTGGTGCCATGAAAATTCATGGGAATCTCCTTTATATAACTTTGATTTCCATCAAAACTGGATTCTCAACTTTTGTGAAAAAACACATTGAAATGGAGCATGTACACTTTTATAACCATTAAATTAACAACTGGTGAACATATGGGCCACCACCTTCAGTAAAATGTATCATACTATGCGAATGATACAAGATGGTGCTGAGAGAAGATAGATAACTGATCTAGCTTCATATATAAGCAGAATTGCTCTACCACTAAAACTTCAGAGGGAGAAAAACACCTTTCACTTTAATTTTTGTCAGTGAGGTTAAATATGTTGATGGGAAACTATTTTTTGGTTCTGTTATTTTGATAACATGGTAACAAAGGGGTGAGGGAGTAATTATTGGTAAACACTTCTGAGAAATATCTGGTATTATTATCCAACTGCACAAAGTTGAGTGTAAATAACGTATGAATAGATTAAAAATATGCTGCCAATAATGTACAGTTATTTGGACAGTTGGTTATTTTGCACTGCAAAAAAAAACCTGTTTAACAAGGCAGCTGCACACCCTATGCTTCTCTATCTGCTTTGCTTTTCCTACCTTATGAGACATGAGCAAAAAGACTTAGTGGAAAAAAAAGCAGGTGGATAATAAATAACTTATTAGATGTTTTGGTGTGTAGTATTGCTGATTATTTTTACTTGTAGTTTGTATTTTGACTCACTCTATGGGCTCGTCAAAATACGGCCCAACTCATGAAAATACTCAGTGATTCTACACACCAAAATGTCTAATAAGAGATATATATTAAAATGAAATGGCCACAAAAATTTGGTTACTGCATGTAGTGCTGTACTAGTAGTTGAGGCAGTTATGCACATTATGCTTGCATGTAGTGGTAACTTTGTTTATTTTGGTACAAAAATTTCTCAGGTCCATAGGATCTACCGTATGGCTGGTGCCAGTTTCGAGAAGGCACAGGGTGAGTTCGCAAGTGGTATGGCCTCCAATCCACATGTTCAGAGTGCAGCAACCAGTGTCGCAGCTGCTGGAGTGCGAAGTGCCATGACCAACCAGAAGTGAGCAGTACTGGAAGTGGAGAAAGGAGGAGTCAGGAAATCACAATTTACACATGTTAGAAGAAATGCATAATAACAGGCTCTGTATGGATGTGTTTTGCCCATACATTGATGTTCTTGTATTTTCTTACCTCTTTACATTTGTAGTACAATTTTTTTTTCTGTAAGTATGAGGAATTATGGTGCCACTTTATTTGCTTTTGAAGGCATCATTTTTAGTTGTATCAGTAGGATTTAAACAAGTGATAAAAAAATGAATCCAATTTCCCATAATGAGTTAGTAGCTTTGTTTCAGTTTCCAGTATTCAGTGAGACCAAAATTGGTGAAACTAAAGTCCTTGTTTATAAAAGTTTTGTAGTCTTTTTTCAGTAAAGGGGTACTTTAAATCGTACCTTTAAGTAACCTTGTTAAAGATGACATGGAAGAAAGCAAAACTGAGAAGAGCCTGTGGGCAAAAAGTGCTGTTAGCTGGTATCAGCCCTGTGTAAGGCCATTGTAGTGAAGGGGAAAAAGGAATTGGGAGCTGTGAGAATAGGGGTGGGCAAGAAAGAAGATACGTTAGTTTTGTGTTCACTTTGTCTGCAGTATTTTGTAATGAAGGGGAAAGAGAGGCATTCCAGTGAAGGAGATGGAGACTGGGAAACAATTCTCACCCTCCTCATTCCCACCCCTCCACCAACTTGCAGCTTGAACCATGTGACCTTTTATCAGGCTTAATTTTAATTCTTGGTGTTAAACAAAGTCCTCTCTGTATCAAAATACTTTGTATGTAATAAAAATGAAATATCAGTAATCTAGATTCACAGAACACAATCATTTTGCCAATGAAAGATGGGAGAGGGCACTGATGAACTCATTAATGGCAGGAGTAACCGATATTCGTTCATGTACATGCTAAGAAGCCTTCCTGGTCTTGTTGGTAGAGTCAAAAGTAAAGTTTTTACTCCAAAGGGGCTGATAAAGAGACACATAAAAGATAGAGGTGTACTGCATCTTAAAATAAATCAAGCATGAGGAGAAATGCTCTTAAGATTAAATATTGGCCTCAAACTGTTACCATTGTGGTCTGGGTTTACATTTGTGGTAGTGGAATGAATCAGCTGATTAATAGAGGTAATAGAAGGTTGCAATAATACCCAGTTTGGGGTGGACTTGCCTTTTGTTTCCTAATCTCATTTTGCATCCTACATTAGTGAACTGTTGTATATGTAGTAACACTATATTTCAAAGTTGATAGGTTTTCATTCATCTGACTTAAGTTCTTAGGAACTATTGAAAAGTGAATACAAGGAAAAAAGTTTGTTCTTTTTAAGTTTTTTTTTCAATGGACTGCTACATGTAACAGGGAACTCTAAAGTTTTGTTTTATGTTGAACACAAATTTCTCAATAAGAGCACAAACAGTGGGGTGTCTCATGTAAAGTCACTACATGGCAGTAATCTCTCTCCACTTCTCAAATCAGTAGTGTTATAACCAGTGCACTTGTAAATGCCAAGTTACATAATACAGCTGATAGACGTTAGTCAGAACAGAAATAAGTGTTTGGCTTCCATGTGCATTTACCTAGCTACTGATAAAGCAACCCATTGAATTGTTATAATATAGAAAGTAGGGGTGGCATGGATTGTCATCTTTTGTGTATAAATTGTACACTCCGTTTATAGTTAAAGCTGATGTTTAAACAGATGTAAGTGATTAATTAAAACAAGAGGTTCTTCTACAAGATTGTCCATTGCAATAACTGTTCCATTTTGAATAACTTTATTCCCACTGATTCCTATTCCTGCAATTAAACTTTGTCCATACAGACAACTCTCTTCTTTTCTCATCTGCTCCTACCATAGACATAAGTCTTAGAGGGTAAAAGGGAAGATGATTATATCATTTTAACCACAGCTGTACAACCTGACAATTATCGTTAGTAGGTAACATACAAGTGAATAGTGCTTTTCATGCTAATTGCTGATTGGCTAGTTCAGAAGTGAATTGCATGTACTCTTCGCCTTTGGTCAGTGAGACAAAATCACATGACAAGTTAAATTTCTGACTATGTTTTGGTGTATTGGATGAAATAAACTAATTTTTTTCAAGAAACATTACAGCTGCAACCCATGAATTAATTATCTTTCACACCACTGTCAGAGGTTTGCCAGTGACTCTCTACAACTCAAAACCCTTACACAAAAATCCAGCTATACACGCTAAAATTCACAAGTAAAAGGACTTTGGGGAGAAGAGGGAGGAAGGGAGGAAGAGAAGGAGAGGGAGATTGTAACAATTGTTACATTCTAAAGGAAAGCATACAAAACATGTCCAGTAGCATGAATGGAAAGCACAGCAGAATGTGTAACAGCAAAGACATGCTCAAAAATCAGATTGCATTTGTTGTATCTCCTTGTACTGAGAAGAACCAAGCTTATTCATCAACTGTGGCAGTTGATCTACACATCCTCTGTCATCATAGTGAAGACAGTAGTCTAGTATATATCTGATGCACTTGGTGTTCTCTTCATCCTCCTGGTTGCGACAGCTTTCAAAGTGACATGGGCTCTTCTGATTTTTGTAATCAAAATCACAAGGGTTCAAATCTTTGTTTTCTGGCTTGTTCAGATCACTGATTTTCAGGCCTAATTCCTGCAAACAAAAATAAAAATAAAAAGCAGATTAAGATTATGGTAGAGTGGAATCAGACTAAGAATAACTCCAATAAACATAAAAAGACCTTGGCCAAGAATGTCTCCCTCCATATGCATTTACTGTTTATTAACCCCTTAACACCCTAACATCAGAATGCATATTCTCCACACTGTTCTCTATACATTTCCTAGGGTGCTGACAATGAGAATTTGTTTTACAATAAAGAGCTTCCTAAGTTAGTGACCATTTCCATAATTCTCGTGACTTTGATGTTTGATTCAGGGGTGATATCGTAAAGAGTTATTGGATGCTAGTTACTCTAATGGGTCAAAGGTTTAAAGAGTTGATTGAGTGGTTGTGCGTGACTCCTTTTCAACAACAAAACATGGTTCTGAACTGTCTTTTTGCTCTCTTCTCAAATGTACTTTTGTTTCCTACAAAAAAATTCTACCAAATTTATTTAGCAAAATGGAAATGGTAATAATGTTTCTACTTGTTGAAATCCATTTCAAATTCATATGAAAGTGGACAATGAAAGGCATAACCAGTCAGAAAAAGGTCTGAATCCCATCTGACTATTCAGAACTGAAGTTGTGGAAAATTTGATTATGAAACTCTCAAGCACTTTCAAATTTGAACAACAGGAAAACTGAGAAATTTAGATTTTGCTTAGAACTTTACATGACCATAGAAGACCCCCTGAAATAAGCTGGCAGTGTCCCAGATGGAGAGAACATTGATACAACCTGTACATCTCACTCTAGAGTGATCTTCTCATGTTGTCCATACCTCTTCCAGGTAGCCTCCATCCCCCTGTGTCTGTGGTACATTCATTTTGTCACTTTCAAACTGATAATCGCTCATGAAAACCTGCTGGTCCTTGCATTTTATTCTTGGTGTGATATCACTCACATTCTGAACCCATAACTCATACTGGGCCAGGACATTTCCAAAGGAATACCTTTCTGTAAATGTTTCATATTTTCAATCAGTAAAGTAAGTACTGTTTACTATGAAATAATTATTAATTAAACTGTCCAACTTCTTACTAGAGGTACAATGATTAAGATAAACTTATGGCCAAGTTGTACTACATATGATTATTGTTGTAATAATCAGATTAACGCCATTCACATCAAATTGCTATTGATTGGGACTTAACCCTTTTTAAAATCCCACAAGTAATTAACAAGTAACTTCTCCCTCTAATATTCATATATCATCCAGCAAACAGGTAATGAGATTACTCAAACTTATCAGGCAGAAGTTATCTTGATCTACCACCAAACTTCTTGTAACTGATTTACTAGAAAATGTGTGGTAGCTAAAGGAGAGAAAGTTAACTTTTATCAGACACAGGTAATAACAGGTTAGGAGACAACCAGAGCCTGCTTTGCACTATCTCACAAAGCCAGAATGGGGAATACCTTTTACTGTCTGATAAATTTGTGTACAAAAACTCGAAGTCAATTCTCAACACCCAGTTTACAGCCAATACCTTTGTCAAGACTTTCCACTGGCAGTGCCTCCCTTCCAGGTTTTTTGAATACTGGTTTGGATTTCCACCACAAGGCCACTGCTTGTTGACGTTCAGGTCTATAACAATAAAAAAAGATGTAATTAAGGACATTATTCATCACTGATTTATCATTTAACCCTTTAACTCCCATGAGTGACCAAGAGAGAGTTTCTCCTCACTATACATCTATACAATATCATGCAGACAAGTGAATTGAGAATAAAAGGAAAATATCAATTATGAGATTGCTAATTTATCCGACACCAAATTCTCCAAACTAACATAATGAGAATTGTTTGGCAGATAGTTAGGAGAATTACTAATAAGACCTTGGGAGTTAAAGGTTAACCCTTTACACACTAACAGATAAGTAAAGCCTTTATACAGGCCTGAGTGGCCTATGGGGCAGGTGCTTAACTCTGGTTTTCTTAGCATGAAGCGGCTAGGAGTATTGCTACTCCCCCCTGGATGGGATGCTGGTCCATCGCAGGGGTTACCCCCAGCACATTTGCTGGTACCCCATTTGTACACCTGGGTGAAGAGAAGCACTGTGAGAGTAAAGTGTCTTGCCTAAGAACACAACACAATGACCCCAGCCAGGGCTCGAACCCGGACCACCCGATCTGGAGTCGAATGCACTAACCATGAGGCCACCGCCCCTCCACACACACTAACAGATAGTATCCATATTTTCCATACTCATCCCTATACATTTTCTTCGGTATTGAAGAAGAGAATTTGCTTAACAATTAATGCTTCATAGGTTCGCGATCATTTCCTTAATTGTCACGATCTTAACCCTTTACACCCTAACATCAGTATGCATATTCTCCATATTGCCTTTTACACATTTCTTTAACTGCCGACAAGGAGAATTTGTTTACCAATCAAACGCTTTTTTCATTGGTGATCATTTCCTTTATTCTCATGACCCTAATGTGTGATTCAGGGGTGATATTGTGGGGAGAAATTTGATGCTAGTCACTCTTACGGTTTAAAGGGTTAGTGAATGATTCAGCAGACTATCACAGTAAGGAGAAATTAGAACCTGGTCACTCTTTGGATTTAAAGGATTAGATCCATGATATGCAAAAAATATACATGCCATAATTACCTTGATATAACTTGGTGCCACCACACCTGGGGGATGTAAACAATATCTCCTTCTTCAACATTGGCACGGTGATACCGAACTTTCATGACATTGGGAAATTTCTCTAAATCAACAGCTTGTGGATTGATGTCTGAGACACCCAGCACCCGTGACTCATCAGAGTACAGATGGGTGGAATAGACTGGAGACACCATGAGGACAGATTTATGTCCATGAATGACACACAGCAAGTTTTCATCTGTATCAATGTGAATAGATGACGATGTCCCTCCAGTGCTCATCCAGAAGTACGACACAAAAAAGAATGAGCTCATTTCTTCACAGCGTAAACACAGTGGAAGAATTACATCTTTTCGCATATCTGGAAGAACTTCATCAACAAGGTAGCGATTTGAATGGTTGTATTGAGAGAGAAATTCACTCAACTCCATATCAGGGGGGACATTCCATTTGTCATCATCCTTTGTTTCCATGTGAAACCTTTCTTGGCCATAAGTTGTATTCAAGTATTGATCTGTCCACTTTGTATATGCAGGCCAGTATTTCACAGCACCTAAATTGGAAGAACAGCAATTTTCTTGTGAGAATTGAACAATTTGCTCTAAATAACTTTTAATTTCTCATGATTTGTGCTGGCATTAAAATGTACAGTATCTGAATGATATTTAGTGGTAACTCAGTGTTACTGTGGAATAATTAAATTCATAAAATACATTTGGAGTAAATCAAAGAATCACATTCAAAGATAGAGAGGAATATAGACTGTAAATTAAAACATATTACCTTTAAACACAACTGGTTTATGCTTTATAACATAATTCATGTAGAAATCCTCGGGAGAAATCATGTAAGGAAGTTCTTCTACAATGAAGTCAGGAGGACGATGTGATCCAAATGGCTTCATATGACCATGCAGAAACATTTCTTCCTCTGTAAGATCATTCTTGAGAACATTACAACCTTCACCATACTGATTCCCACATGAATGAGTATCTGAATGGTGTGAAGAGTGCTCATGGCACAAAATTAAATTCACCATACAGAGAAACTCAATGAGAGTAAAAGTCACAAAAGATATTTGACTTGAAAATAACATGATGTTGTAAACCTGTGTAAAAAGAGAGTGAAGATGTGATGTTAAATAAGTTCTAGAGCTGATCTTGATGTCTTCAAAGTTTTAAGCTGCAGAGATCTTAGAGCTTTGTCATGTGGCTCATGAATGAAAAATTGATATGTTGTTTCAAAAGGAACATCATGGTTTAGCAACCTCCTTTGAGTGGTAACACTTTCTTTTCCTTCCTTAATGAGTTCATTGTCAATGCCTAAGCCACAGCTGCAGATAAGATACACTAATTATGTATGTAGTCACCCACACTGGATACCACGATCTTGACTAGGAATTCAAAGATACAACTTATCCGCAAATTACGCTTTCTTGACTGTTATACACCAAGGAATGTTCTTTTTTTTTTTGCTCAATTAATCCACTTACAAATTGATTTGTTGATAACATTCTCGTGAGCTTCACTAGCCTAGTTTATTATTATTATTTGTTTACTTGGGCGGTACGATCTTGATGTCAATACGTCAATTTTCATCCAAGGGCATTAAATTCAAGTTGTAAGCGCAAAGTATTTTTCATTACAAAGTTGGCATACCGCATTAATTATTACTTCTACACATTCTAATTTTCGGGGGTTACTCTCCTGTTAAAAATGGAAAAATTATTTTTAAAAGTTGTTCTAACTTTTCAGTCGGGAAAACTTACTCATGGAATTAGTCTGCGCTCAGAGTTTAGGCATTGAGAAGGTTAGCAAACAATATAGTCTTGAACAAGTTTATACAAGTTAATTTATCTCAATTAGCATTTAACAACTGATGCCTACCGGAAAGCGAACTCGCAAATAAACAACTAACTTTCAAAGTAGGTTTCTTTTCTCAGCTACCTCAGCTTTCATCACTTGGGATGGAAACTTTTTTACTGCATTTCTGTTGTCTAAGTGAAACCCAGTCTGATCAGGCAATTCATATCAGAACAATCAAAAATTAACGAACAGGAAATCGATTACACCTGCACCGACAGCTGCACCAGACACAGTCACCTTCCAGGGGACTAGAGCTGAAGTGTAAGTGTTTTGAACAGCGGTAAGTCGCTTAAGAGCATGTGTTATAATAACCAATTCCCAGTCTCTTTCAGAATTTGCTCACTGATTTGGCGGTCATTTTACAGAGATTTTAAAACATCTTTATACTTCAAAACATGGCTTCTGCTTCCGATCCTAAACGACAACTTAAAATCAAGACTGGAGTAGTAAAGAGGTAAATTATCGGATCTCGTTTTTCTGCACATTATCGTAATCTTATTTAAAAATGGTGTGTCTGTAGACACATTGTAAATTGCCATGTGTAAATAATAATTGTAAATTGTAAATTGTCATGTTCTGTTTGGTTTTATCGGAGAGCTTGTTTTGATACTCTAAACATGATTGCTACAGGTCAGGATGAAATCAGGGTAAAGTGAAATTTCTACTAAATACGAAATCATTCTTCTTATCTTGGACCTCTTCTTGCGGAAAGACGATGACACCTTCGATGATACTTATGGACATCTTTCAACCTTACTGAACTATTTGTTTAGCAAGGTTGAAAGATTCCTGACCAGCATATCCTTTCCTTTTTTCATGCAAGTTTATAATTAATGTGGTTTGTGAATGAAATCGTACTTTTTATTTTCATTTTTTCTGGCATTTCAATTATTCCGCATAATTATTTCATGAACATGAGAGGTGTTGGACCACCATAATATTATTGAATGAAATTGAACGACAAATTCAGTCATATTTCTGCGTTGCCTAAAGGAACTGCCCGTTCATGTTCACTGTTTGTAACAGGCTGAAAGCATAAATTTATGGGTGGAGAGGATGGCTATGTGGGTAGGCTTGAGGCCATTATTGGAACTTGTTAGTAAAATGGGTCTGGGAAATGTTTTTATTTGTCAGGGAAAAGTTGGGAAATTCAGAAACCTACACTGTGGCAACCATGTTGAATATTTTGAAGTCACTCAAGAATAAGGAATCTTGTTATTTAGTTCCACTACCTATAGCTTCCTATAACCCAACTAAAGAAGCTCTTGATTGTTAAACAAATTCTCCTTGTTAGCATCTCAAGAAATGTATAGAGAACAATATGGAGAATATGCATAATGAAGTTAAGATGTGAGGGGTTAAAGGATTTTTCTTGGTTCTGTTTGAGTGGTTGTGCTTCGAGAGACCTTTTGATGCAGGTGGAGAACAATACAATCAGTCCTGTGGAACTTAATAAACAACTGCTTAATAAAAGTGTCCCTTTGATAAAGGGAAAAATTTCTGGACTCTGGAAACCTATGGCTTAATACAGGGTGACCACTGAATACAGTACTGCTTATTACAGGTTGGACTGTACATTCTTTGTTGAAAAGAAGTTTCTGGTTAAAAAATAATATTTTTTTCCAGATTAGCCAAGGAAAAGCAGATGTATGAAAAAGAAGTTAAAGATCAGTCAGCCAAAGTTGAAAAAATGAAGGCAGATGAGAAAGATGAATATGATATAAAGAAACAGGTTTGTGCCTTGTTTCTGCAATGACCTCTTTCTTAGTAATGCAAGGAAATATGGGGGTGGGGGGGGGGGGGACAATTTGAAGTTTCCAACTGATCAGTGGTCATTCTTGAGAGTAAAATTAATAAACCTACAGATCTGATTATGGTTAGTTCTCTTTCTGCATTTCCCCCAAGGTTAGGGAAGAGAAGTTGTATTAATTTAATGTTATCGAATGGCAGATCGAAGTACTTGAGGAGTCCAAGACCATGATTCCAGACTGTAAAAGACGGCTCAAGACTGCTTATGATGATTTAACAAATCTTGTGGTAAGAAATAAGTTGCTCTTTATTTGAGGGTATGATCAATCACTGAGGGTAGTAATGTTATGCACTTATTGACTGATTTTAGGGCCAGACAGAAAAATATTGGCTCAAGGTCATGACATAGGGGCCAAGTGTGGTGAGGTTTGTGCATCATGAATGAGGCCAAATATTTTCTGTCTGGTACAACCTAACTTATGTCAACAGTGCAGCACAATACGTGTCAGCTGTCACCATGGTTTTCTTTGTGATTGCACAAGGCAATTACTAATTGCGCAAGCCAGGTTGGATGGGTCATATGATAATGACTGGTAATGACTGTTATTGGTTGCTATAATCAGGTGACACTGCAGTAGAATTTTTTTTTGAAATAAAAACCTCTACTCAGTCAAAATTGACTTTGTACACCACCCTTTAGTAAAGGAATTTCTGTTGATGTTGTTTTTCTTAAATTTAGATAACTGGTTTCCCCTGCAAGTGTGTTCCCTTTCCATTCTTCTCCATTTCAGTTTTGTCCTTGTTGTTTTTATCCCTCACCAAACTTCCAGAAGCTTTTGCCATCCCAGAAAACAAACTGGGAGGTGAAATTACCTTGGCCAGATAGTTCAAAGCTGGGTTAAGATAACCTGAGTTTAGGGTGAAATCTGATCTCAGTTCTAAAAGCATTGAAAGAAAATTCAGTATAGCTTTTTTTGTTTACAATTTGGTGATTACTGGTAGATGCTCTTAAAGGGGTGAAGTAAATTATTCCAAAAGAGCTTTTGCACAAAGGAATAAAGAAACCTGGATTAAAATTTAACCTTGTGTTGGGGCTAGTTGTCCTTTGAACAAGAGGGCCAAGATTTATTGGGAGAGGCTTGAAACACTGCATGTAGATAACTCTCCTTAACAAAATGATGACACACTCAGCTAATGACTTAGTTTCATTTCTGGTTTTGTCTACAGGCAGAAACAGAGGAAGAATTTGGTACGACAGAGGAATACAAAATGGCCAAGGAAATCTTGGAAAAAACTGTTCTAGAAGATTGAGAATTGATGTACTTAGTGGAACTTAATCATTCAGACAAACAAATAAAATAAACATGTGATTCCTTGGATGTTACATGTAACAAGGTGCATTTATTAGTTACACTTTTTAATTCTTTATATTATTTGTGTGTGAAAAGATATAAATGAACCCTGTAGCTTGAGACCAATAATTCTTTTAATTTTCCAAGACATCTTGATTAAACTTAAGAGAATGAAAAGTTTGACATGAACAGGTGTGTGACAAATTTTGCTGTGAACAAATCTTGTTTTAAATGTTAGAAAAAAAATGGAAACCTTTTTTTTTTTTCATAACTTATTCACTTAAAACTTTTTTTTTTTAAGTAAGCATGACTTAATAAATTGTGATCTTACTTGCATTGAGTAGTTTGATATCACAGTGTTCTTTTCCACTAGAAGTTCTCAGTTTCATTCTTGAATTGCCGAAAATTAAATTTATCTGGCACAAATCAGGACAAACCATTTGCCAATCATTCAAAAAAGACAAAACTGTCCAGTATTAGACTAGACTGTTTCAAATAAGACCAAACTATTCGTGATCAAACAGTATAAGTGAACTCAGAAGCAATCACGTGCAATCAGGGGTACCATCCACAATGATAAAAAATTTTCAAAATTAAACTGTGCAATATCAAATCTCATGAAACTATCTGGAGTCGAATGGTACCATGAGATATCAGCACAACTCTCAGAAGTCTGAAAAAAAAAAAAACTGAAATCATACAAGACCATTGGAATCAAACAGAACCATCTCAAATAAGACTACGACATTTGAGATCAGTCAGAGTCCAAAACTAGACAAAATCATTCAAACTCCCTTTAATGCAGCCCAACTCCTCTGGATCATCAGAAAACTTCCCCCTCTTTTCAGCGACCTCCCCTGTGTTGCTACAATCCACTGACTTATTAACAAACTTCCAGGAGTTGTCCACGACCTCATCATAGTTGTGGGCGAATACCCCCTGAGTTATGAGCGAACTTAGTCGAGTTATCGACGAACTCCTCCGAGTTCTTAGTGAAGTCATCAGAGTGAGTGAGCTTCCCTGAGTCGTTGAAATTTCGCGGAACTCAACTGAGTCGTTGGCAAAGTCCCTGAAGTTATCGGCGAACCTTCCCTGAGTTGCTGGGGAACGCAAACTCATTAGAACTAGTTGTGGGTGAACTCTTCGTGAGATGTCGTCAAAACCTCTCATGGCTGACAACCAATTTCAACTGTGTCCGCATACTTCTGAGTTTTAGGCGAACTTTATTAACTCGTTGGTAAACAGTTCAATATTCTCAGTGTCTTCATTTTACATGTCGATGAACTACTTTCAGTTGTCTGTGAACTTCCCCGTTTTGTCAGCACACTCCTTTGAGTTCTCGGCAAACTCATCATAGTTTTCAGTAAACCCCTGAGTAAGTGAATTTCCCTAAGTTGTCGGCAGAATCCTCTGAATTGTAAACCAACTCCTCTGCGCTTTTAGCAATATCCTTTAGGCTGTCTGTGATGAAACTCCCAAAGAACTTTCGGCAAACTTATCTGTGTTGCTGGAAAACTCCAAAGAGATATCAGGAAACTCTTATGACTTGTCGTGAAACTCATCTGAGTTGTCGGCAAACTCCAATGAGTTTTTTTGAAAACTCCTCTGAGTTGTGGGAGAACTCGATTTTGTTGTCAGCGAACTGCCTGGAAATCGCTGTAGAAGGACAGCTCTGAGTTGTCAGAAAATTTACCAAAGTTTGTAATTGTGGGCGAACTCGTTTTAACCAGTGGCCGATTTTTGAATATGGATACTAGTGGCCGATTTTCGAGTTTGGAGCCTAGTGTCCAATTTTTTAATTTGGACACTAGCGGCAAATTTTCAATTTTGGACACTATTGGCCAATTTTTTAATTTGGACACTGATGGCTGATTTTCGATTTTGGACCCTCGTGGCCTATTTCCGATTTTGGACACAAGTAGCCTATTTTTTAATTTGGATTCTAGGGGCCGATTTTCGATTTTGGACACTTGTGGTTGATTTTTGAATTTAGACACTAGTGGCCAGTTTTTGATTTCGGACATAAGCGGCCAATTTTTTATTTTGGATACTAGTGGCCGATTTTTTATTTTGGACACTAGTGGCTAATTTTAGTTAGGACACTTGTGGTCGAATTTTGAATTTGGACACTGGTGGCCGATTTTTTTGCTTCTGAACCCTGGTGGCCGATTTTTGATCGGTTCACAGTTTACGATTTTGGAGTCCAGTATCTGATGTTTGATTTTGGACCCTAGTAGCTGATTTTTTAATTCGGATACTGGTGTCGAATTTTTAATTTTGAACCCTAATGCCGAGTTTTGATGTTGGTCGATTTTTTAATTTGGACACTAGTGTCCAATTATTGATTTTGGATAGTGGACCCCAGTGTTTGGTTTTTTATTATGGACATTCGTGTCTGATTTTGATTACTATTTAATCATTGATTTAATGTCAGTTATTCACTATATCTGGAATCTTTCTCTTGTGGAACAGAGCAGTCATAAATATGGGTGATGCAGCAGGTTTTCTGTTTTGCACTATACATGTGAATACAAATCTTCTAGAGCACTACCTTCTTATGTCATTATCCAACCTCTAGTTATTTTTAAAGCTATAAATGTGTGCTATATCAATAGCCATATGCAACTTCAGACTTCCTATTTTTGTCTGAGTTTTTGGCAAACTCATTTGAGGTATTCCTTAGTTTTCGGTAAATTAACTTGATTTGTTGGCAAACTCCTCTTGATTGTCAGGAAAATTTTCTTTTGTTTTTTTGTTTTTGTAGTTGTTCTTGCAATAAAATGAGGCAGAGAATCCCTACTCAAAACCCCGTTCACCACAGAGGTTGTGATAACTTTACCACTCATGGTCTCACGTAGGGGATGCTTTATTTACTAGAGATGCCAGTTTTTCTTTTCAAATAGTTAAATAAATATTTATTCTTATTATTCATTAACTAAAGCAGATCTTGAAATGAGGATCACAAAGGTAATACACGACAGCCTTTGTCGCTCATTGACAGATGATATCCAGTAAGTACTCGACCGTTGGTAACAATATAATATAAATATAATATAAAAATAATAGAGTAAAACCACGGCGCCCTATTAGGTTATGGTATAATTACGAACTTGTATGGAGTTTTTTAACAATTAGCTACAAAAATATCAACTTTCCAAACAGGCACAGCTTAAATATTGTGACAACCCAGTCAAATACAACATAAATACAACGCAAAGATGCTCATCTCATTCATTACTTTATGTCTTATATTTTATGCCTAGAAAGGTATCCAAGCTTTGCGCAATTTTAGCAAAAATTGTTACAAAATTTTATAATACCGCGAAAAAAGATGTCCAATGAGATTTTAAATTATTTAATAGAGTTTCGTGTGCTGTCAGGATCCTAATAGAAAACGTCTTGCATCCTCCCATTTTGAAGGCGGGAATCTGTTGACAAGCGCAAAACGCTGGGAAACCTCACCATCTGTGGCAAAAAGAAGTTGGATTAGAGCGGAAGAGCTGGTACATGTTGAAAAATTTGGCCAAAACCTTTTTTTACCTTCGAATTAATTTCAAAATCCCATTTCCATTTTCATCATACTCATTTACAAATTATTCTTCGAACCATCGTTGGCTATTCTGCGCTCTTTTGTGGATCTACTACGATGTGAACCTTTTCATGCAGTTTTGTTCGTCGAAAAATATGACTTTAACGTGTCGTGCCCCTGTTTACTTATCCCTTTTGTCTCCAAACAAAATTTATCACAACATAGGAAAATGCTACAAGCGCGGAAAAAAGCACGTAACAAGGTCGAGGCTTTTGTGTAGGATAGTGATTCGCATACTTATGCCTCCAGTTGTAACAGCTGTGCTTCAATTAAGGCAATGATCGGAGGAAAATTGACCCGTCTGTAGTACAAATGAGACATCACTGCAACTGGTTCAATTTTCGTTAGTACAAATAAAAACACCTACTTACCTGAACGTCTTCCACTCTGAGAGGGTAAGAGATGATCATGGTGTAGATCCAATATTTGTTCCTACAAAAAGACAAAGTGTGCTTTTATTTTTGACAATATAAAGAAATTGGGTCAAAGGACCTTACCGGCCTCTTCATGGACAAGTCATCGACGTAACTGTATACAAATGATAACGATGACGATTATTAGGAACCACAGTTTATTCCTGTTCAGCTAAGACTCAAGATTTCTTCTTCATCAAGTGTTACATTTTCAACTTTTTAAAAATTTCTTCTGCAACATACCTCGATGTAGTTTTCTAGCAAGGCGCAACTAACTTCTTGTTCAATAATCTTTTTATTTTCTTCATTTTCAAAACAAGCAGCGATAAGCGTGGGAAATAAGACATTCCTGAGCCTGAAAAAAATTTGTATAAATGTTAAGAAGACAAATCTATTAAAAAACTAATCATCGACTCAAAACTGTTTGGCTTATGAGCTTAACTTTGAACTGTGGCGCGCAAACTGTTCCCAAGAGCGTCCAATGTCAGCCTTTAACTCGAAATACTGCGAGAAAAAGGCTTCGGTTTCCTTAGCACTGGATCACTGCCTAAGCCTTCCACAAAATGCCAGCGACTTACCTTGGATCACTGAAATACTGAAATGGAAGCGAACACAGATGCTGCAATAAGGTGGGAGGTCGACCAGTTTGGACAAACACCTGAAAAGCAAAAGGCAGTCACGAACTTAGTTCTTTCATCCTAGACCGCCACACATCACTATGGGAGATGCAGTGGGCTATAGGTCAGTGCGCTGTACTCCACTAGGAGAGGTCTGGGTCGAGACCTAGTTGAGTCGTTGTGTTGTGTTCTTTTCTCAAAATACAAAATAATAATAGTAATGCAAAGGATAACAACTGTGATGAAATTGAAACAAAAAAATTTGATTACCAACCTGATTATCGTTATTCAAAACGGTGAAGTAACCAACAACTAAAATGACCTCGTGGAGAAGATCTTCATTTTTCCCTTCGCTGCAAACACTGATAGCAAACAATTACAAAAACATTACCAAAAACAAAACCTTTCAATTGAGTGATACGAAAACTCTTACAGTACAGATTTTTTGGGATGTTCGACTAACTCTCTACACAATAATCTCAGGCCATTTTGTCGAGATGTGCAAGTTTCTGTAGTAATTAGATCAATAATCTCAAGCCATTTTGTCGAGATGCGCAAGTTTCTGTAGTGATTAGATAACAACCATCAAGGACTCTATCGCTTTGAGCCTTAATCCTTTACATGCTAACATCAGTATGCATATTCTCCACACTGTTCTCTACACATTTCCGAGGCGATGACGAGGAGAATTTGTTTAATAATCAAGAGCTTCTTTATCTGATGATCGTTTACCTTAATCTATTCTTTATGGGTGATTCAGGGGTGAAATAGTCGGGAGAAATTAGGTGCTAGTCACTGTTGGGGATCAAAGGATCAGTTGGCCGCGAATAACATGATACAAGAAAGGAAAAGATTGGAATATGGAAGGAAGATGTTTTAAAATACATTTTTCTCGAGAGTGAAGCAGAAAAACATTTGAGTTCTCTCATGACATAAAGACCTTGCAATTGTCGTTCGCATGCCTCAGCGTCGAGCTATAGAGAACTACTCGTGCTGAGCTGGTCAGTGTAATGGGGGCATATGTGATCATTAGCACAAACCTACCACAACAGATGACTTATAATGTGCCGAAACTCCAATGATACGCCTTCTGCTCCAAGAGATGCCTGTCAAATGTAAACAGCCAAACAAAGAGAGTATTTTATAATAAGATCCTGAAGCCAGGAAAACGCATAAAACGAAGCCGCGATTGGATTAAATTCACTTTGCATCTGATTGGTCAAGAGGGTAGCGAAGTGTTTTTAGATCAATGAGAGTGCGATGTAAAGCGAAAGCAATAAGTTCCCACGTTATACCAGACACTCCATTTAGAAATTGCTCAATTTATAGGTTGTTAAAAGCATTGTAGAGTTAAAAAGTTCTATCTCAAATCGCCTTTGCATGGAACTGAATTAGTAGTCATTGTGCGAGTCATTTCGCTTCGCAACAATCCTAAGTTGTCTCCTTCAGAGAAACATTATTGGACTAATTTTTTTCAGCCAAGACACTTACCTGCAACACCTTCAAATCCACTGTCCCCATAAAATTCAACATGCCCAACGCCTCTATAACCAAATTTATTGTTGATTCAGGAAGTGTTGGACTCGACGAGGACTGTTGACTGCCATCATTCATCAAAATTGCATAAAGAAATGATACAATTTCTACAAAGAAACAAAGAAATTAAGAATGCCGATCAGTTGCAACGTAAGTAACTTTGAATAAAAGACCTTGCACGTAGCTTAATGATTTAAATCCACTTAACTTACCTAAAAGCTCGGTCTGTTGAAAAGTCACAACAAACTGTGTGAGGTCTTCTTTTCTTATTTCAAAAATGTTACTTGTCCTGCGCAAACAAAAGCAAAAAGGTCGTCTTAGAAGGAAGAGCGCTTTTCAATTGAGTGACGTAAAACCAAAACCTACGCAATCAGAACAGCCAATTACAAGAAAGAAGAATTTTATAAGGAGCCAATGAGAACTCAGAGTAAAAACAAGCCAACTGCTTGAAGCGCGGGAAAACACGAGTGACACAGTCACAGTTGATTTTAGTTAAATATGATTGATTAAAAAAGCCACTAATAATAGAGAATAGAAAAAGGCACTGAAAGGGTAAAATACCTTGCTGAAGAACACAAGAGTAACTCTTAAACATTCCAATTCAAAGCCCACTACTTAACAGTCCCTCATCCATATTTTATTGGTTACATAAAATGCATAGGTGCTCACCTACAACCCAGATATTGAGCAGTCCCAGATAAAAGCGCTAAACAAGCCTGAGCGTAATTCATAGCCTCAAGCTCGTCGTTAAGAGATCCGTGAATTGAACTAAAGAAACTTCTTATGTCATCTACAACTCCGCAGCATACCACATAGCTAGGGGAGACGGAACAAGATAAAGACATGATCAACAAGAAAACATACTCAGTAAGAATGAAGCTGTCTTAAGTTGTATTGCAACTTTCAAAACTAGCATTGGACGACTATGGCTGGTGATGGGGAGTTTTAATATTTCAAGATTGGCACTTTAAAATTGAAACAGAAGTGAAATAAGTCAAGTATTTACCCAATTAAGTCTACCATCCTTTGAACAAGCGTTGCTACTTCCTTCTCTTCAGGTGACGCCGTAGCGAAGCACTGGAGTACTGTGGCGAGTGCCTTCAATAACGTTGTTGCCAAGGGGTCTGGTAATGAGTAGTTACGGGCATTATTTTCAGTCTCTTTGTCGGCTCCTTTCTTGGTGGTCCCTTGAGACGGAGAGACATTCTGTATACCGAGATAACAAGTTTCTTTAAAATCACAACCAAATAGATCTAAATGTCCTAAAATTCGTCGAATTAAACCACAGTAATTCACTAAAAATCACTTTTGAGGCAATGAACGAGAGAAAAAATTTCAAGTTCTAAAAATTCTTGAGGCAATTTACAGGAAAGTGCATCAGTAAAGAAAACGAGAAATATAAACATTGATATCAAAGAGAAAAAAAAGACTTTTATAAATATATCATAAGGTCTTTACAGGGTGTAGTTTTTCTCCTTTTCCTTTTAACAAATGCTTATTTAGAGGTAAACCCTCTACATCTAATTCTCCAAACAAATTCTCAATTTATTTCCTAGGGTGCTGACAAGGAGACTTTGTATAACAGTCAAGAGAATCTTTGGTTGGTGATCATTACTTTTATTCTCGTGACCTTTACGTGTGATTCAGGGGTGACATTGTAAGGAGAAATAAGATGCTAATCACTATTAGAGGTTAAAGGGTTAATAAACAATAGAAGCTTCTTTTCGGTTTACGTTGATCAATCTCACCTTCATCTGAAAGGCCAGAAGATCAACCAACGTACTGAGTTTGTTTGTGTACACCATATAACGACAGTTGTCCAAACAGTCACCACAAGCAAGCGTTAACACATTGGCCACGCTACAAAGGGCTCTGACGAGAAAAAGAAGAAGCATCGATTTAGACAACTGAAAACCGAAATAATTGTTAACTAACGGTGACAAAAATCTAGAAATGCTTTCGTTGCGCTTTACCGACTCCTCTATCTTTGGATTGAGGAAACTTCGCCATCAAGTCAATCAGTAAGAAATTATACATAGAGACTAATCCCGATCACCAAAATGCACTCACAGGTTCAGTAAGGCAACTTCCAATTGCTTGTCGAAAATAATCTTGGATTGTTTTGTTTCGCTCTTTGATTGGTCTGGAAACCTCGCGCCACTCTCAACCAATTAGATGTAAAAACGACTTGGTCGCCCGCATTTTCCCGCGCTTTAGGCAGTTCGTTTGATTTTACTTTGAGTTCTCATTAACTCTTAATCAGGCATTTTCCTTTCAGTTGATTTTCGTTGTGATTACTTTGGTCTCGTTTTTACAATCGAAAAGCGCTGCATAATGTGATCATTATGATCGGCTTTGGAACTGCTCTAGCTGAGCGTACAAGATCGAAGTACAACTTACAGTAAAACAGCGTTTATTAACGCGAATACTAAGTTGGAGTGGTTAAAGAATCAGAAAAGATCATTTACTTCACTGCAAGAATCCCCAAACAAAGTGTGTGATCGCCAGGAAATCCAGGTTATTAAAACACATGCCTAAACCTTAGTGTTTGTTACAACATCTCCAAGGCTTAGGCGATATTTTTCGAATAATGAACTTACTTGTTTGGAATAATCGATTTAATCGGAGGCTTGTCGCTGGCGATGTCTGGTACCAAAAGCAATCTGGTCAGGGCGGTTAGCCCACCAAGATTACAAAACGTCACTTGGTCGGCGGTTACCTGTAATAAGATTGTAAGGTTAACTGTTTGTAAGGTTCTTTTAAAAGTTTTTCTTCCACCTAACTTTTCAAAATGGAAGCAACTAACCGTTGGATACAAAGAGGCCAACAAAAAAGTCTCGATAACACAAAACGAATTTTTGATTGTTTTAAATTTCGTTTAAAGATTTCGTTGCCTAAAATACTTCTAATTTATTTCCCTACACACCCCTTAAGAAAATTATCAAAAAGATGTCTTGAGAACCTTAGATTCCAGGATCCTGCTCAATTCGCCCAATGATCTCTCCACTGACCCTACACGATTGGCTGGCCAGGGACCCGACCCTTGTGACTGCAACTGGCGATTGAGATCTTTGACAATTTTTTGAAGCCTGTGAACACAAACGAACATTGAGTTGCAGAGATGGATCATTGATAATTAGGATCCAAAAACGAGTAAGGAGTTGTGATTTAATTTTGTTAAGGAAAGTAGGGACAGGAGGAAAGTAGCAGGGAATAATTTGCTGTTTTTGGTTAATTTTAAGAATAACACTTCCAAACAGAGAACTACACACGTTGTGTTGTCCACTACTAGGACATTTACGTGCCGTGTTATCCAGGCTTAGAAGAGATCGCACGATCCGCGGAAAAAATAGAACAGAAATACTCAGCGTTCAAAGCTACGATGAAGTTTTCTTCTCTTTTACCTTGGTTTCTTCGAAGATTCCTGTCTTTGTGATGATACACTTGAAAAATTACTTTCATACTCTCGTCCTCTGCAGAGAGAAAGAGTCATCAATAATATTTACCACAGACAAGCATAGCTTAGCACCGACATATCCCAAGAATTCTAACTGATTTCCAGAGACTCAAACCTATGCGATACCTCACCCTTGCACTCTTAGGAATGACCAAAATGGAATTTCTCTTTACAAGATCTATTCATTTTCAAGGAGAGAGGTAATGGGGTAATGGGAAGAAAGATAGAAATCAACAAGAGAATATTGTCTGATTTAGCCCCAAATTCTCAAAGCGCACATGGTACTTAATCTAAAGCAGGCAGTGCGGAGGATTCGTAGTTAGATCTTGGAAGTAAACTGGTTAATAATATTCAATGGCTGGTGTTTAAAACTGGAACTCACTTGGCCGCCATTCTTGTCCTGAGCTTTTTCGCTCTTTTCCTGAGAGCTTTCTGTCGTTCCTGGTCAGCCTTTTCTGTCTCGCCTGCCTTGTCAGAAGGCATTTCCTTGATGTACTGAAGCGAAATGGTGTCCTAGGAGTAGCAATCGAAATTGAACTGATTAATTTCTTCTACAAAGAAGAAAGAGCGCAACTATCATGTACTCTTTCAAGAAGCGTTATCAAACCAAAAAAAAAAAAAAATTAACACAACGACCAATCATATTACAAGAAAATATCACTAGGAGCCAATCAGAACTCACAGTTAAAACAAACAAACTGCTTGAAGCGCGGGAAAAGGCAAGTGTCCAAGTTGAGATTGGTCTTTCGCTTTGCATCCGATTGGTTGAAACAGTGGCGCGAGTTTTTTGGACCAATCGAGAAGCAAAGTGAAGACAAGCCGATACAATACTGGATTATTTTCGCTCTTGTTTTGCCTCTGACTAGTTGAGAGGATGGCAATATGGATCACTTTTAACTATAACAAAGTACCTTGTCGTCCGGTGTTCCTTTAATTGCCGGAATTTCAGACAATGCTTGCTGGTGTTTTTTGCCTCGCAAATGGCTCAACAGGTAAACTTCTGACACGATCTGAAAATGTACAAATATGAATTAAATCATCATTATACCACAATACACCGTAACATCAGTACGCATTTTCTCTACAATTTCATCTAGTCAAAACAGGGTCTCACCTCCACGTTACAAAGAGTACAGAACTTTTTCTTATCGTATGGCGTGACAGCAGGGACCTCGTCTTGTGTGGAATGGCGTGACACACCGGCGGCCTATAGAGGACGCGCAGGGCACAATAAGTTTAACGCACAGTTACCGATTGAAGAAAGTTTGCACACATTTTATCAACACAAATTCAAACAGCACTAACCTTTTCTTTTACTTGTTCCAGCACTTGCTCGTGTCTTCTAGTCGTTTCCGCTTGCTAAATATTTTGAGACGAAGAAAACCATTTTCATCAGACAGCGTAGAGTAATACTTTTGTATTACAGTACTTGGCCATACGAAATTAAACGGGCGTGTTTACCTTTAAATTTAAATTTAATGCCACTTAAACTCATCACATATGTTAAAAAGTGGGGGTTGGGAAAAGAAAAAAAAATTCCCAGTTTTTTTCAACTTTTTTTAATGCGTTGTTAATACTTTTTAACTATATGTTACATGGAAATTTGTATACAGCCATAAATCTTAGTTTTTACTTATCTGATTAGTTGGTATTGTTAGTAAGTCAACAGATGAAGAGGCAACACAATTGGATACGCTGTTAATAAACCATTATTATCATTACAAGTTTGCAGTAGATATGAAAATCTCTTTTGGTTCCATGCACGAAAAGACAGCCAGTATTTGAACGTACCTTCTGTTGGATTTTCAGTTGCAGTTGTTCAGTTGCGGTTTGTAGAGCTTCATTTCGGGCAGCAAGACGCATTTCTCTCTCTCTATCAACAACAACAACAACAACAACAACAAATTCTAATGTCAGTGAATTCAGAATCGTTTTTCGGAAACATTTAGGTTTGCATCATCAATGTACATCGAGTTAGTGAGAGGTTCTCTAAATATAATTCAAAATCTACAACAGACAAAGCTGAATCGTACAAACCTGGCCTTTTCTTTAGCAGCTTCTTCTCTCGCCTTCTCTCTTTCGTGTTTCTCTCGTTTGTATTTGGCCTCCTAAATCGGTCATCGATAAAAAGAAAAAACCGATAGAGACAGATAAGGCGGGTGTATAAAATTTCGCGGCTATAGGGCTAGAATTTTCAAGATAAATCAACCGTAACTTAGTTTCTTTTTCTCTAATGTTCCGCCCTGTTTGTTCCCACGTACCTGCTCTAGCTTTTTCTGTTGCATCTCTTCAAGTCTTGCCAGTCTTTCAGCTTCTAACTGGCGGCGTCTCTCCTGCATTGGAACAAAACACGAATCAAACTCTTCCAATCGCCAAGAGAGTATTTCTCAATCAAATGCTTTTACCTGAGCGGCCGCCTCCTTGGCTTGTTGCTCTTCTTTCTTTCTCTGCCTTTCTTCCTAGATCATAAAAAAAAATATATACTTGTACATGAAATGACAACAAAGTTGTATGTCAACATTCTTCGGAGCGGAAAAGAGCAGGGAATTGGGTACTAATTGGAGCGCGGGACCTGGGCATAGTGCTTGGGTGGACAGCAAGACAAAGATGGCGGCCGCCTCGAAAAAAAACAACAACAACAACAACGACAAAAAAGCCAAAATCCCATGCCATAAAGAACGGATATTAACTACACTCGTATTCGTTCCTGAATAAAGAGGCAACGTGGTCGAGATCGAGTGGTGCGCACGTCGAACTCGCAATCTGGAGATGCAGGATTCGAGTCCCGCCCTTGACACCAGATCTATCATTCTATCTCCTCGACCACGCTCATGGATCACTGACTGGTTTGCTTCCTGCTATTTGGGGTTATTTATCATGCTACCTACGACCTTGTTTGTGGCTAAGCGCATTTCCAATAAAATCATAATTACCTGAATGTCTTGTAACCTTGCTTCATGGCCCTGAGTTATTCAAACAGAGAAAATACTTTTAGTGACGAGTAACAAGAATCCCAACCTTGTTGCGATTCACGCGCATAATGAAACACGGAAAAATTGTTCACCTGGTGTCTTGTCAGAACCTCAATCTTTTTATTCTGCGCTTCTAAGGTGTTTATGAAGGCTATTTCATTAACCTGAGTACAAATACATCAAAATCAAGTGAGAAAAAATATTATCTACAATGTCTCACAAATTAGCAACGTCAGAGGGAGAGTGTTACCTAAGCATCCCGTATCTTGCTCTACTCTGGCCTACACGAATCTTTTCTATCAGAGAAAGTCTAAATGTTTCCGGTTTCACCTCCACTAGGACTACCACTAGCAGCCTCAGCACTATTTTGCAGCTGTTTAATGTCGTTCGCTTAGTCACGACACTTTCAATACAGTAACTTGAGAAAATAACCTACTGCTTTAATGTCAATTCATCAAGATAGGAAAAACAGGACGATAAACTTAGAAGAAATGTGGTGGGGCTGATAACGGAGAAGGTTAAAACGTATTACAGGCGACGCACTCTAAACAAGTAATCTTTTGTGCACAAAAGATAGCTGGAATGATTCCAAGTTCCCCACAGTTCATTTGACTTACCTTAGCTTCTTCCTCTTGAGCTTTTCGTATTTTTTCTTGCAGCACAGACAGTCTTTGCTGCTCTGCTCTTCTTTGCTTTCGATCCAGGTGCTGCTGACGCTGTTGTATCAACTCATCCTTTAGCTCACGTGCTTTTTGGACCTTAAATGCGTCACAAAATAAATAATAAAGTTTATAAACATTGGATGAAAAGATAAGGTCTTCACAACAGTACAGGGTTGCGACGCCCCGAAATTTGATTGCTTACTGTATCACGCAGCTTATGCAGCATAAAGTTTAGGGGTTTAGGAACTTTTTTCCATAAGCGGCTGCCGATGGCATAGGCGGCTGTGCCCGGAAAAGGGGAAGTAACGTCCCTTTCCCTTAAGCCATGGGGTCTAGGGGCATGGGAAATAGACGAAGGTAAGAGGTCATTTGAAGGCCAAATATTATTTTACTGAATTTTCGAAGAAAATTAAGGATTTTTCAACCGCACCTTACTAACATTTTTTGAACTGATTTCATAACGTATATTTATTTATATTACCATACAATTACACCTTTTGTAATGTAAACATTATAATTAACTTACAGGACCCTTATAGTCACCAGTGTCATAACACTGACGGGATTATCCTGTTTAAATATTAGTAGTAGTAGTAGTATTGTTATTGTTATTATTATTGTTGTTGTTATCATTATTATTATAATCATCATTATAATTAATTAATTAATATAATTATATAGGCGGTGGTTTACCGGCTTCCAGCGTAACCCCTGCATAAAGCAAGAGGGGAAGGAAAAAAGAAAAAGAGAAAAGGAAAAAAGGAAAAAGAGAAAAGGAAAAAGGAAAAAGAGAAAAGGAAAAAGGAAAAAGAGAAAAGGAAAAAGGAAAAAGAGAAAAGGGAAAAGGAAAAAGAGAAAAGGAAAAAGGAAAAAGAGAAAAGGAAAGAGGAAAAGAGAAAAGGAAAAAGAGAAAAGGAAAAAGGAAAAAGAGAAAAGGAAAAAGGAAAAAGAGAAAAGGAAAAAGGAAAAAGAGAAAAGGAAAGAGGAAAAAGAGAAAAGGAAAGAGGAAAAAGAGAAAAGGAAAAAGGAAAAAGAGAAAAGGAAAAAGGAAAAAGAGAAAAGGAAAAAGAGAAAAGGAAAAAGGAAAAAGAGAAAAGGAAAAAGGAAAAAGAGAAAAGGAAAAAGGAAAAAGAGAAAAGGAAAAAGGAAAAAGAGAAAAGGAAAAAGGAAAAAGAGAAAAGGAAAAAGGAAAAAGAGAAAAAGAAAGAGGAAAAAGAGAAAAGGAAAAAGGAAAAAGAGAAAAGGAAAAAGGAAAAAGAGAAAAGGAAAATGGAAAAAGAGAAAAGGAAAGAAGAAAAAGAAAGAAAAAGAGAAAAGGAAAAAGGAAAAAGAAAAAGAGAAAAGGAAAAAGAGAAAAAGGAAAAAGAGAAAAGGAAAAAGAAAGAGGAAAAGGAAAAAGGAAAAAGAGAAAAAGAAAAAGGAAAAAGAGAAAAGGGAAAAGGAAAAAGAGAAAAGAAAAGGAAAAAGAGAAAAGGAAAGAGGAAAAGCTTGGCCAGTTTAAAGTTATGTTAACCAATTCCTTGATCAATAATTCATATAATTATTCTACCCCACGATGACAAAGGACGATGTCAAAGAAGGCTACACATTGATCCCGTCAAGGCTCTCGAAATACATTTAAATATCGTCATATACCTTTTCAGAAAGCATCTGAAGACTCTGCAACCTCTCGTCCAACATTCGCTCTCTTTGCTGTTGAGCTTTTAGCTGTTAACAAAACGGTGTCACAGAAGTCTTGAAAATATTTCTTCATAAGCAAAACGAGTAAGTTATCTCAACCGTGTCATGATTTTCTGGGTCAGTGACTCAGAATAAAGATTAACAAATGGACAGCGTGCAAATATCACACAATGATAACTTAGAGTCGTTTTTATGCATCAAAAATAAAAAAAATTTTAAAAAAATAACGTGTAGTGCATGCAGTTCACTTTTCTTCACCCTTCTTAACCTAAAGCATCTAACTTGAGACAACTAAGCGAATCTTACACTAACTTTCTGCCCCCTTTCCCTGTTCTTTTGTGTTAGTAAATCATCATAAGATTAAAGAGTGTGCAGGACACATAAACAACAAAATCACTTATATTATGGTTCATCACCTGCTTTTCTTCATGAATACGAATGACTTCTTCTAGTGGTCTGTGAAAAAGCAAAATCGATCCTTAGAAATTGGGTTAAAATGGAAAAAAAGGACTGTTGAGCTCATGGGTGCACACTGATGTTTTAAACGCAGTATCAAAAACAATGAAAACGACAAAAGAAACAGAAACTCCATGTAATGTTATCGCCTCCATGAAGATGTCTTGTGTTTTGTTTTTTTTTTGTAATCAAAGATAGCTTTACTCTAGGCTATTTAGGATTATAAAGGGGGCAAGTTTCTAAAGAAACTGTGTTGCTGCGTCGGTGGGGAGAATTACAAGATGATGGTTTTATCAACTGAGCTGATAATGTGAATGTGCCACCATAGAGAGATTCTACAGCTGACGTCATTCGCTCTGACGAAGAACTAACGCTCGAAACGTCAGCTCTAGAATGTCTAAGTTACGTTATTCACATTATCCACTCAGTTGATAAAACCAAATTATCATTTTGGATATAGTCAGATTTAACCTTTTTATCTGTGCGTTTTAAATGGCTATGGCTAATTCTGCAATGCACGTAAAGCAATTCTGATCCACAGCTGAGTTTTAGTCTTAACTGATCGTGCTATTGGGCAGCTAACCTTTTTCTTGATGGCGATGACAAACGTTGATGTAGATGAACAGCCCTACCGGGAGGTCTCTCGGCTTGCTCCACTAAGTCACCCCAGTTACTCTCCATATCACCAGAATGGTCAGCTGGAACACATAGCCAAGTGGCATTGTGAGGTACAGTATGTGTTATTACATTCAGTTTATACATATGTGACCTTCTCTAAAAATGTGGTTTGGAAGAATATTTTCAACAGATCCATTGTTAAGTTTGTACAAAACAAACTGCGTACCCTTCGAAAACGCCCTCATCATTCAATTAGCGCTTCGGTAAGTTATTCATAAACGTTCCCTCGAAGGGAAGTTTATTAATCATTATTTATCTCAGACATCCAAAGTTCTCCTTCGGTCTGACGTTCTTGAAATTAAGGCAGAATAACGAAGGATAGAACAGAGGTGGGTTGATTTTATTGATAAAAACCAACTCCTAAAAAATCAGGGAACTAAGTCCAGAGAAACAGACCTCAGCTTTCCTCTACAAATAACTTTTAAATGGAGAGATGAACATATTTCAACCAACACCTTGAGTGCACTTCTGTGTCTCGTATTAATTTTCTCCCAGCTTGTATTTATCACCTCAGACATGTAAGTGTTTAGACATTCTTTCTCCAAAACACATTTGGCTCAACGCAGTGTATCTAAGCATTTGCTACTTTAAAGTTAGGAAACGTGCTGAAAAGTCTAATCATTCCGGCCTGAAGCCACTTACCATCATACTTTGCCATCATCTCCTCCCAAGTCAACGGAGTTGCTGAGCTTCCCAGTGAAATCTAAGACAAAAAATAATAGTAAAATTAATTAGTGGTTAGAAAACAAACTATTAGGAAATATATGTACAATGTGCTCTTAATGATCTACATTCCCATTAGAGAGAAAGTGGAACCAACCAGAACGTTCTTCACATTGATACATGGCCTTTCAACACATTCAAGTTTTGTGAAAGGTCAGGCGTTTAGCGAGGTCACAAAGAACTACCCGACGGTTTGTACATGTCAACAACGAAGGAAAAATTTCTTCTGCTTGCTGTCCACAGTTTGCATCAATCTTTGCTATCTGCAATGGTTCTCATACCTCTATTGAAACCAACCATTTTTACAATGTTTCCTTACGTTCCCAGGAAAATTAAAGCTACATGTATGCTTAAAAAAATGGACTTCAAATGTTGTATTGTCTCGTGTAGATTTTCTTTTACCAACTTACACTGTCTCCATTTGTGGCACTGCTGCAGTTTAAAGAATCATCCTCCACTCCATTAACAGTCTCTGCATCGTCTTGCTCCATGTTAGAAACCTCAGTTCCACTTTCACCATGTATTTGTGTTACTAGTTCTTCCTCAGCTGCTATTTCCTTTGTCAAACTTTCCTCGTGTTCAATAACAGATGCTATTGTTTGATTGCGACACTCTTCTATTTGCCGTGACAAGCTTTCTTCTTCTTCCATTGCTGCAGAAAGAGCTTTTTCGTGTTCAATGTCTGACAAAGTTTCCTGCTCCTCCTCACCATCGAAAAAAGCTGGTGGAGTTTCTTTGCCATTGGAAAGTTCTGTTAACTTTTCCACAGTTTCGACTGAGTTCAAATTATTTCCAGTGTAAACACCCTTCGTACTGACATGAATACCACCACTACTTCCATTACTGCATGTGCCGTTCTTCATTTTTCCTGTTTCTACATGATTCAATATTGTTTCTGTTTTACTATTTAATAATCTCTCATTACCACTTTTGTGTTCTTTCTTTGCATGAGTGCTGTGCGTTTTTCTTCCACGACAAACAGTTTCCCACCCTTCCTCATCGTCATTTGCATCTAGAACGACACAATCCCCGGAATTCTTTGAAAAACCTCCCAAGAGAGGAGCAGCATTTTGATGTCCAGTTTCTCTTGTATCAGTTTGTTGAACAGCAGAAACAACACTTGCACTGGTTGTTGTTCCACGAACTTTATCAGCCCAAGATTGTGAAGGTACTGAGCTGCCTGAGTGATTGAGGGATGTGTTTAGTTTTGAAACAGATTGCGAACTAAATTCCAAGTTGCGAACAGGACTGGTAGCGTTCTTCTCAAGTGACGTCTGCAACGGATTTGCACTCGAGAACAGTGTCTTACCAGGCGACGATTTCCTTACTTCCCATGCTAGAGATGTTGGTCTGTGAAAAACAAAAATGCTTATTTGCACTCTTTTGTTTCTTGTGCTGACTATACAAAAGGCAACAAGCGAAACAAAGGAAAAAATAGTTACTGCGCTAGAGAAACATTTACAAAATTATACCTGTCCTTGTAATCTGCTTTTTCGAATGCATCCTGCACATTTATTCTGTCAATCAAAGCACTAAAATCCCGACGACACTGATCCAGCATCATAATCACCTCCTGTTTACAAGAAACAAAAAATTCAGCAGTGATTTGGTAAGCCATTATATTTGTAAGGCATACATTGTTTGCTTGATTTTGCTTGATTGTACACTGCAGAGAGAGCCAGAAAAAAAAAAGGTGAAGTTTCCAGATTAAAAATCATGCCCCTTTTAAGCCATGTTGACCCTTTTGCCTTTTTTCACTTCCAAGTATCTGTACGCACATGTATACATTTCTCAATAGGGTACTGAGATAAAAGAAAAATATTCATTAGGGGAGGCCTTTGTGATTTAATTCAAAGAAATGTGTAACAGAGGATGACAAGAATTGATATTTTGATCTTGCAAATAAAGGCTTTAACCCTTTAACCCTCTAAGAGTTACTAACATCTAATTTCTCCTTACCATATCTCCCCTGAATCAAATTTAAGGTCAGGAGAATAAAGGAACTGATCACCTATGAAAAAGGCTCTTGATTGTTAAACAAATTCTCCTTGTCAGCACCTTAGGAAATGTTTAGAAAACAGTATGGAGAATATGCATACTGATGTTAAGGTGTAAAGGCTTTAAACAGAAGAAATGTCTAATTAAACCTAAACCTTCATAGACATCTAAGCAACTTCAAGCAATTTGTAAACACCAGAGAACAAATGAATTGTTGAGGCATGTACAGTACCTGACACTCCACAATGCTCTCGTCAGCCTCACATGTGCCATAAATCTCATCCACAGCCCTTTTGAGGTTATCAAACAGGTAACTCCAGTAGCGAGCTCTTAAATCATTCTTCTTTCCTGAGAATGATCCTGAAAATTTTCTGCTTCCAGAGCGAGACCTCCCTGGAGATTTGGTTCCTCCTTTCTGAGCTGGAGATCCTTCTCTCTCAGACGAGCCAGATTTTTCAGGAGTTGAATGGCGCTTTCTGTTCACCATCCTGGGTTTAGACTTTTTTCCTTTTTCTAGTTTTAGGGACATAGAAGATATGATAATCAAAAGATATAATCCCAAGAATCTGATTCATATAAAACAAAGTGTGAAAAATCTCAAATATATTCTGAAACACGTTGAAAAGGAAATTTCTCAACAATTCATTTTAAGATAAATCTACCTCTATGCAGAAAAATACAATTCAAACATGCAAAACAAAAATACTGTGTTGGTTAAAATATACTAAGTAGAGTTCAACCAATTTTTTTTTAAAACCAAGATTACTATTTAAGTCTCTTGATGGCTACTCATCATGGTGGAGATTTTCACAACATCTATCATGACAATACTTTTCAAACAATGATTAGTACTAACAGAATTACAGAACTTATCATTTAATTAGATTCTACTTTTTTTTTGGAATGACTAAGTGATTTAAATTAATCTTATCAAAGCTTGCATGGTCAATTTTAGTGCTATCTTAAATTTCCTTACAAACAAATGGCAAAAGCTGACAGACTATCACAAATAGGATAATTCAAATTGAGCATATTCTAAAATGTTTCTTAGTTTGCTCAATGATTATTCAATCTTCACCATAAAAAAATTAAGAATAATTGACATCTTGGTCATTTTCTAAGCAAAGTTAATTCAAGATTCTCAACACAAAGTTTTTCTGATCTAGATAATCCTGAGATTTATTTAATTCATTTGCAGGATCAAAACTAAACCTAACATCCTCTAAAATGATATACTGTTTGTGGTAAAAGAAAAAAACATTTTACTTTGAAAAAATATGGTACAACATTATGAATGCGATAATCAGTCCTCAAAGAAAAAACATTTCTCACTCCCCTACTGGTGGATATAAAAATATGTACATCAAGTTTATCTTTTAGCTCAAATCAATTTTACCATGTCATTGTCATTGCCAAAAAAATGTGATCAATACATACGCTTCAGATATCTGTAGGCAAAACTGAAATTTGAAAGAAAATTTTCAGAGTGGCTTCATTAAAAAATATTTAACTGAGATGAAATCTTCCACACACATCAATCAAACCTAAGAAAAGTCCTTTTATTTCAGGAATTTCTTTTGTTGCAATTTAGTTGAAAACCAAAACAATTCTCAATCAAAATTAGCATCCTTATTCATTTTCAGTGTACAAAAATAAAAATATAGCACAACCCTTCTGTCCACTTTGAGTGCAGAGTGAACAGAGCAAACTTTTGTTTGCGTAACATAAGCTGTGAATAAAAAAAATACTTCTTCCTCATTTGCAAAAGTTTCAGACATAGAAGACAAATAACCAGACATTTACAATTGTCATGGTGGCAGTTTCATTTCGAACATTAATCTGCTCTTAAAGAAAATCATTGTTTGTAATATTTTTGAGGTAAAAACAAAATTTTTCACAGAAAATATTTCCATGATGAAAGATGCTACATGAAAAATCTACAATCCTGCAAAAGAAAAAAATGGAATTTAAAAAGCCAGCCATGTTATTTTGATAGTGTGTATGTACGTGTACTACATATCATTTTTCATCATGGAGAGATTTTGCATAACACTTAACTTATTAATTTTTCATATTATTCTACATTTGGGGTTTGAATTTTAAAAGCAGTTCTAATCTGCCCTCAACATCAAATCCCTTCAGTTTAAATCTGATCAATAGTAGATTTAAAATTCATAAAAGCAGAGTGAGTTTATAAAATGTTCTAAACCCACCTTAAAATCACAAAAACACAAACCCCCTGCCTTGCCCGAGCTTATGGCTGAGGCTGTTGATCTATTTACAAGATTTGGAGTATTTCAATCTAGCGTACCATTGATGAAACAATCAGCTTTCATAGCAGGCTGTAAATTTCCTCTTCTTGTTGTAATCCCCAAAATATTTTATCAGTTATTTTCTGAAATTCGATTCTTCCCACCATCATGCACAACACTTCATTTGATTCAAATTGAAGCAAAATTTAAAAGGATCTATTCTGTATACATTAAAATAATTTGACTGAAGAACACAATTAGGATCACAAAGCAAAGGGATGGTTATTAATGAGGGGGGGGTTTGCATATGATTATCCACAGCTAATGTGATCAAAATCAATTATTTATCATTTCCACAAAGCTGTCTTAGTGGACAGGATTTTAAAACATCATGTCATGAGTTACAAAAATAGAAAGAAAAAAAAAAAAAAGAAAAGAAAAAGATTGCATTTCAGCTTTAAGCTAACATCACAGCAGGAGAAAACAAAAACAATATTTTCAGTTCATTCAGAGAGATGTGTGGGGTACAAACAAACAATCACTGTGATAATTTTTCAGAAATAATTTGCTGTGAACATGGGGAAAGGAAAAGGAAGGTGCTACAATAGGCCAATTTTCTTTCCTTTCTTCTTTTCTATTAATTGAATGTTTTTTTAATCTTTTCGTCTCAGCGATAAAAATATTACAAATTTAAATTTTACAAGATCAGTCTGTCAGTCAAATTTTTAATTTAAAAAAATTTCTACATCTTTAACCCCCTGAGGGTGACTAGCATTGAATTTCTCACCAAAGTATCACTGATGAATCAAACACTACATGTAGGCTTAGGAAAAATAAGGAAATTATCCCAAACTAGAAAAGCTCTTGATTTTTGACTAAATTCCCCTTGTCCTAGTGCCATAGGAAATATTAAAAGGAAAAGGTTGGAAAATATACATGCTGAATCTGGGGTATAATGGGTCAAAATTTGAAAAAGCTACAGTTGCTGTAATTACATGTGTAATGGTTAATATTGAAACAACTAAATCTCATTAATAAATACAAAAGTCTCACTGATCACATCGGTAGAGGGTTGTCAAAAAATTCTGAAGTTCAGGAAGTCTTACTGTTGTTCATAGAGAAGGCTAATTCTACTATCTGTTTCAGTAAAAGATAGGCATAAATATAAAGGTGGAAATTCTATGTGCAGAGAAAATCTTATTTGAAAGATGTTATTCAGTATATGATACAGGCATGCTTGGAGAAAAAGAACAGTGAGTGCTCCTAACAAGAGTCAAACCTACAACCTTTGGATGCTCTACCACTGACCTATAGCACTGACTTGTGCCTTGGCTGTTTAATTAGATTCGTGTTACAAACTTCTTATGCACTGCTAGAATCAGAATGACAGTATGTGATGCTTATGCACAATGATGATGTAAATGAAGATGGTGAATTTGATGCCTGGTGTTTAAGTGAAAGAAGTTGTTATTCAGTGAATGACAGAGGCATACTTGGAGAAAAAGAACTCAGAGTTCTCCAAATAGGAGTTGAACCTACGACCTTGTGATTAATACTTTGGTTGCTCTACCACTGTGCTATAATCATAGTTCTTGCCACAAAAAAAATTCCCTGAGACAAGTTAAGCAAATTCAAATTTTTGCAATGAATACAGGGATAGAACGAGTCATAGTAGCAATTTGTTTGGATGTAGCACACATTGTGTGGAAGAGATATATCCGAGAGAATTGTTGTAAAACTTTGGAAATTTATTTCCTGGGACTTTATAGCTTGCAGATAATTGCTGCTGAAAATTTGTTGCAATCACCACCAGTAATATCTCATCAAATGTTTAAATGTTTGACTCATAAGAGTGACTGGCATCTAATTTCTCTTTACAATGTTAACCCTGAATACCAAAGTCGCAAGAATATGGGAAATGATTACAATCTGGAGAAGCTCTCTCTTGTAAAAACAATTCTCCTTGTCAACCTCTTAGGAAATGTATAGAGAACAGTATGGAGAATATGCATACTGATGCTAGGGTATTAAGAGCTAAAGGATCCCTTTAATCTATAAAATTATATAGATTAAACCATGTGTAACTCTCCTACTCCCAAGATCTCAGTGGTAATTCTCTTTACTATATGTTATTCATTTGTTGGGATGTCTGTACCGAGAATATAGCTTCAAATCACAAGACCTTTAGTTGATGTTTTTTGTTTATTCTCATCACAAAGTGTATTGATATTGTGGGGAAAAATTAGTCCTTGGTCACTCCTGAAGAGGGTTCAAAGGGTCTGCCAAACATTTTGTCAAAAATGATTGTTCTGTAAATTTAGATTCAAATCATTTGATATCCCCTCATTAAAGTTTTACTTCACTCTCTTCACCTGTTAGCATGAAAGTATATTCATTTGATATCATGAGGGGAAGGTTAAAATAATAAAATTATCCTACCTTCCTGATTAGGCTCTGTCACAGGTACTGACCATGTTACAAGGTTTCGAGCAATTCTCCCTTCCTGTTCAACCAGTTTACGTACATGGTCATGACTGTTTGTGCGATTGACACTTTTCTGTTGATTACAGTAAATATGTATGAATTATTGACCAAGTGTGAGGTCAAGATGGCTGGATATTTGGCCAAGTTCTGTGTGCCTTTTCATGGACCTCAACTTGTCTCAGTCCATAAAAATACAAGGGAAGAACCAGGTAATATACAGCTATCTTAACCCTTTAACTCCCAAGATCTCATTAGAAATTCTCCTTACTGTCTGCCATACCATTCATATAATGTTAGTTTGGAGAATTTGGAATTGGATCAATCAATATTCCCCTAATTGATAGTTTTCTTTATTCTCATTACTTGTCTGTTTGATATTGTACTGATAGTGTAAGGAGAAATTCTGTCTTGGTCACTAGTGGGACTCAAAGGGTTAACCAAATTGGGCAACTATATATTTTTTTCACTGATTTCTTGATACTCAAATACAGAACTTTGCAAAGAACAAGGGAAACACCTTTTTTCCTCTGCTTACAAGTGATTATGATATGGATTCTTAACTACATTGTGTAAAGGTCTGGCCAATTGAATGAACTCTATCAATTAAAAAGGTGTTTCATAAGTTAAAACATGCAAAACTAAAATATTTTGGTTTTCTTTTCCACACAAATATATAAATTTTCTATTTGAACCATAGTTTCACATTACATGTATATCAAATTGCAGATTCTCAGATTAGCAATGTCCCCATCAATGTCATACTAATCAACGTCATAATAATATCATTAACATTGTTTGGGAATTGAGCATCCTAAACTGGGATTAACCCTTTAACTCCCGAGATCTGATTGTTAAATTCTCCCTTTTAGCTGCTACACATATCCTTGTAAATTAGTTATGAGAATTTGGTCTAACATCATGATAACAACTTCCAGCAGATAAGTTTGAATTAACCTGTTTGCTAGATAATGTAAGGATATTATAGGGAGAAGTTTCATGTTGATCACTTCTGGGAGTTAAAGGGTTAACCCAAGATACAGCTGAAAAATACACACCTTTTACAAAAGACATAATTATAACACCAATAATACTACCAGCTCAGCAAAACCCAAACACATTCAAATCTTTCTTTTAAGATTTAATTAATCATATAGCATAAAACGTAAGGTAAAACAGCTCAACGAACGAAATCGATCTCTTACTGAATATCTATCTTCCATATAAATAGATTTTCTAGAAATCAAGGAAATCGAGACCCTCTACTCGTAAGCTTATTCACTGAAACATAACATCCGTTTTCAATTTGGGTAAGATTACTACGTAATGTATTTCGGATGTGACTGAAAATTTCCGACGGTGTAAACAGAAATACAACTATGACCGTACCTTTCCAAAATTGTTCTTCCTTCCCGAAGAATTATCTCGATATTGACTTTTATCGGAGCTATGCTGTCCACTGAGACTCTCGTTCGATCGCGAACTAGAAGAAGAAGTCCGAGGACTGGACCGTTTCCTTCGACCAGCGCTGTCTTGGGATGACATTTTGCGTCAGCGCATCCCAAATCTGGAGTACTACTCTTCTACAGTTGGTTACCCAAAAGTTCCCAAGACGCGTGATCAGGATCGTAATGTCATCCTAGGCTTACTAAAAGTCGAAGAATTATTCCTTTTAGATTGTTTTCAAAGAGCCTCACAGAACCCGCCATTTTATGCATTCAAGTAACTTGGAAACCTTTTAAGAGAGCCTCGTTTTGGAAGATAACTCATTCCCAGCTTTTCCCGACTGTTACAACTGGTCCTTGCTTTATCGCGCGCAGCACGAGGATAAACATCTCCATAATAAAGGCGCCGGGCTCCTGTTCGGGTTTCGTAGAGATATCTACCGAGTTTGTGCCGGCATTCAGCGCCGGGATCTTCCCCTCTGATCCCTTCGAATGCCAGTGATTTCTCCGCAGGATTTCGGGACAAAGTAAAATATTTAATTGTTTGTGCGCGAGACTGAAATTGATGGCGTCAAATTACTATCAGTTGGTAATGAGAAATTTTTGAATAGTTTGATTGGGAAAAAAAGAATTTTTACTTCAAGTAATTCTCAATTATTTTTTTCTTTCTTCATGCATCATTCATCAAATTTCGTTCTCCCTTCCATATGTAAAGCCTTCCCTTTCTTGAAAACTTACATAGCGCATGTCTCTTGTTCGATTACTTTGTTGAACGACAGAACCGTGCAAAGAAAATCAGATAATACTGAGTAAAAGCAAAAACAAACGGTACCGTCTTCTGGAGATATCATGGTATTGTACTATGGTTCCTTCCATTAACTTACGCGTAGAATTGCGGAATCAAGGCCATTAATTAGGCGCGTTTGGTTTTAAAATCAAAACGCGTAGCGCGTGTTCGCCACATAAGACGCTGCCTAATTGAGTATTGCGTATTCAGCAAACTGACACTAACGGTCAAAAAGAGTGGCGCAGTTATCCATTTTATTTCAAATTCAGTTGAGATATGGAACCAGCTCAGGAACAGAAGCCAGTTCAATCAGCTGTGTATACAATAAAAGATGGAAAAATTGAACTTGCAAGATTGCAGCAACAACTTACTCGACTTGAAGAGCGTTTTGACAAGTATTTCTGCCGTTTAGACGAACTAGAGGAGTCTTGCCAACGAATACAGAAAGAATTTGAATCCGCTGAGCAGATGATTAAAGAGGAACACGAGTTTCTTCATGAACAGCTTACGAATAGAAAAACTGAAAAAGAAGCTGCTCCACAGTGTGTAAGAAGAAGTATCAGGATAGAAAGAAAAAAGATTTTGAGGCCTATTAAAGAGGAAAAGACTGACATGGCTTAGGCTTCTTCAAGACTTGCAACTAATATAAAAGACGGACATTGTTTACACTAGAAATGATCAAGTGCGACAATTGTTCATATCGCAAGAGATCTGTTCAAGAGTAACTTTTAGTCCAGTTATGGATTAAATAAAGTTTTAGATGACAACCAGTGGGTATTTTTCCATGCGATATTTCAGAAGTTCAGAAAAACAGTGAATTTCCAATGAGTATCTGGGGTCTACATGGTTTGTTTTAAGTGGTGTCTTGTCATTTTCGCGTGTTACATAAATAACCCCAAATAACCCATGTGATGAAATTTTACTTCCTCTCAGCATAACCCTCGGCATTTTCTTCAAGTTTCCGTGACACAATTCGCCAAAAACCATAAATACTCCGGAATGGAGACAGGCACTCTAAGAAAAGGGTCCCTTTCTTTCCCAATAGGCCTGCAGGATTCGAACCATACCATCTCGACCATGAGTACAGTGCGTTCATCAGAAGGCCACAGCTTCTCTTCTGAGAAGGCGTTTTACATTGAGGAGCCGCAAGCTAGTGTTGTAACTTGCGACGGTTTAGCGAGTCGCCACGTTTGATTTTGTTATGAAAAAGACGCCTTTTGGTTGAAACAGTTTTTCTCCTGTACATTCGTTTGTCCCAAGGTTCTGGCCACTGTTTTTCGCGAAGAATTACTGGATGCAAATTCGCTTACTAACCTAAAAACACGTCTGCATATGGGTTCACTGCACGGTGCAAGCTCCTAAATAGATAGAATGAACTCCGTGATCGTCTACGTCCATTTGTTATTGTTCCAGTGACTATTTGTAAAGAGAAAAGCTCTTCGCTTTTGACTGATTAGTGGTTCAGTAAACGGTCACTGTTTTTTAACCCGCCGAAAAAGCGTCATTTTTTGGCGTTTTTCAGTCGAGCGGAAACAAGAGAGAGGCAGGCGCGAGGTGAGCGCGAAAGGAGAAGGACGAAAAATGATTCGTGGGGAACTTGCATCGTTCCGCACTGGCACTCACATCGTGATTGCTTCTGCCCACCTGAAAACGTAAAAAATGACGCTTGTTCCACAGGTAACATATTTGAGTTTATTTAGATGGGAGCCATAATTTATAAAGCTATAAGACCAAGTGAAGGTCAACGTAAGAGAATAGATTCCTCATATTTAACGCCTTACTTAGTATAGACATCCTGCACATCCCTTTCTATAGACAAGCAATCCTATATCGTATATCTGAACTACGCGAGCATCATTCGCAGCCGCTCTAAATTTTCCTTCCCCACCATACAAGCTACACGCTAGCCTCGGCAAACCTCTCCTCGACTTGTCTTAAATCTTCCCCCGGCCTGATTATAACAAGGACCTCTTCGCATGCTAGGAACACGCCATATATATTCCGTAAGGTTCCCTAGAGACCAGATACCCTGAGTCGAAAGGCATCTTGAAAATTAGTACTCTTTGGAGACAATGCTGAATAACTTCCTCCAAACTTCTTTTTTTTTTTAGTGTTACGTGAAAGTTCGTCAGATGCTGATGTTTTTCCAGCTCTGTCACGTTTTGTAATAAGGTCTAAATGGGGAGCACTCTCTGAACGTGCTGCACTCCTGTCTGTAGCGAAGAGATATAGAAGTCGCCTTCATGACATCGCAAAAGCGCGCGCTATCGTAAAAAAATACATATGACTCAATTGTTTCGTAAGCTTACCATTACCGCACACCAAAGATATCATAACTCCGATCTTTTCCAACTAAGAGATTCTTACAAATATCACAGTGATAGCAATGAAGTATGGTTACGAAAAAAGACCAGCCTTTGCAATCAATTTTTCGTTACGGGAGGGTGAAAGTTCAGCCGTAGCAAGACTCCAACGACAGTTCCATCTTCTTGAGCGCCAAATGGAGCAATACTTTCGCGACATGGACGAAGTAGAAAGATTGTGCAAACTAGCGAAAGAACAGCTAGATACCTCCAAGCGCAGGATTACAGAGAAATATGAGGGAGTAAGAGAGAATGCAGAGAGAGAACTACAGATTATTGCAGCGAGAAGAAAGAGGGAAGAGGAGAGAAACGGACGAGAGCTTGCTAACGCCACAATTTCGCAAAGCATCAAGGAACCGAATGCTAAGCATCAAACTAGCGGTATGATATATGAGTTCTTCAAACTTGCATGCAGCTTGCTGTTGGACATTTTGGTTGTGTATGCAGTGTTCAAAATTGCAAAGTACTTTTGGACAACATGGTTGTAATAACTTTGTTTCTTCTACATTGTCACTTTTAAGTGCGAACTGAAATGCAAGTTTTGTATTATCCTATATTGGGTGGTTGAAAGTCAAAATGTTTGTCTTTTTAATTCTTTGTGCTTCAGATCACCAAATCAAAGTCATGGGTAGATATAACGAAGAGTTACCAACTGCATTAGTGTACTATCAAACGAGGGTGTATTTTAAATTAAAAAAGAATGATTTTTTACTGAGTCAGTATTTGATACCATTGCGATCAAAAGTAAAGCAAGATGAAACAATTGAAAATAAATAAATATAAGAGGTCCTCTTGGTTCGCGTTTCAAACAAAGTCAAATGAAATAAGCGCGAATTTGTAATCCACCAACCGTCGAATCTCTGTTATTGAGCCTGTGATTGAACATTTAAAAGAAAGCAAGAGAGAGACGATGGCACTAAACAAAATGATCTTTTGAATCAACTTTCAATTAAGTGTCAATATCAATCCAGCGATTGCCGGTATTGGTTTTACTTTAGTAAAGAAAACATGCACCTCTTTCTAAACCAATCAGATGCAAGAACCGAAACGAATCGTGACTTTGTCAGTCGCGGGTTCCCGCGCTGAAGAGCGGCTGCCAACCTGATGGTTACACATAATTTTTGTTGGTTCCTTCTGATTCTGGTCTTCGTTTTGATTGGCCGTTGATTAACGCATTAGCTACTGTATTTTTCACTAATCATTCTGAACAGCTGTAATCGGACAGTGTTATCGTACAGTTGGCTGTAATCGGACACCTGTAATCGGACAGTTGTGGCAGCCAATCATATTAAGTCCACGCAGCCAAATCAACCAATCACAGAATTAATCACAATAACCACAGCAACAACCACTTATCCTGAAAAAAAAACTGAGGAATTTCCAAAATGGAGAACGTTTTTTCTACTTTACGACCCGAGCAGATTCCTAGCCTGAACGATAAAGAACGATGATATTGTTTTGGGTGGTCAACCATTAACAAAGCCCAACCCAACCTCAAATCAGGGGACATGGACTCGTACCCTGGTCCCAAGCGTTCCCTCTGGAGGTTTTACCAATGTAAAGTTAGCGACTCGAGACGATTGTTTTACCATTTGTCAGCAGAGCTCCTTTCGATAGAGTTTATTTGAACCAAAATTAAAGCCACAGAAAAGGCCAGTAAGAGCGTGGGAAAACGTCACAAGAAGCCTATATATGGAGACTTGAAGAGAAAAAAAAATCTAACTGTATAAAGCGCGGGAAAACGTGGGTGAACAAGTCGTTGTTGGTTTTAGTTGTGTATCTGATTGGTTGAGAGAGTAACGCGGGTTTTTTTTTTTTTGGACCAATTACAGAACGTAACTGCAAAACCAAAGTATGTACTCCTGGATCGCTTTCGACACTCCAATGAAACTTTCTCAAATCATCTACTATTTAATTTCCATTCACAACTTCTCATTTCCTATTATATTTTTTTTAATCTTGGGAATTTTTCTTACAACTAATTATCGAACGATGCACCGTCTTTCTTGCGACGAGACTCGAGACACGTACGGTGTATCAACTTGAGATGATGGATTTCCTTGAAATGTTTTGCTATCAGTCATGTCACTTCTATTAAATTTTTTTCTCCTGGGCCATTCGACATT